GTGTGCACGGGACTCTAAAAAAGGCGGCCGGGGCCATTCGATGGCAGCTGTTCCACATTTGAAGGATGGATATTCTTCGGGCTTTGTCGCGACGACAAAAGACCCTCTCTCACAAAAGGCCTAGCCGGGCCGAGCTTTCCGAGCGAGCCTCTCTCTCTCTCTCTCTCTCTCTCTCTCTCTCTCTTTCTCGCTGTCTCTCACTCGCTCTCTCCGAGAGAGCACGGCACAAGCATTCAGGGGTCTAAGTTCCATATGCGCCTCGACACAGAGGCACGACCGGAGTTCCACCTATTTCTCTCACTCCGATTTTTCTGCCGATCCCTCTGTTTCGGAGCTCGAGACGCTGCCAGTGGCTCTTCCCTCGCGGTCAGTTCAACGAACCATCTCGGGGAAGCAGGAGCGCAACCGAAATTTCGCTTCCCCTTATCGGGAATCTCGTTGCGTTCGGTGCAAACTACTAAACTTCTGCTCGATTATGTATGCGGCATTCGGATCTGCAACGAATGCATAAAATCGGTGGCTCGGTAAACGCTGGATCGACGGGGATCCGCGATAGCTCGGACGAGTCGTTTCCTCCCTGAACGTTTCTCACGTGCCGAGCACGGAGATCGTTCACACCAGCCCTGTGACCGATAAAGAAGAATCACCGAAAAGACCCACCACCCCGGTCCGAACGAGTTTCCTTCTCCCCGTGTTCCACGACCGGCGCACGAGAAACTTGCCCGTGGAACGGCGGACAGTCTGTTCTGCGGTGACTAATGAATTTGCTACGAGCTCTTCTTGCCGGACGACCTCGTTTGACCCTACCGGGTCCGAAGTTACGAGCTGCGTACCACCAGTGTCCACGAATCGACCGGCGTGCCACGCAACGAGCCTCTTCTCTCCCTGCTCGTCGACGCTACTCGTGACTCGTCGACAACTGCGATTAGCGGACCGTTGAAAATCAACGATTTCAGGTCCCTAGCTGCGCGATCGACAACGCTGCGAGGGTAGTTCGGCCGAGACGCGTCGAATATAAACGATTTATTCGGTAACGATCGAGCGATCGTAATTTCCCGCTACGCTTTTCCACGACTTTTAGACTCCCCAAGGAATCACGTTTGAACACGATCGTTTATAAAGCTGAGAAATCAGTTTTCAAAGAGGTGGTAGCTACAATTCAGTTCGCATAGCCGAGGATTTTTAGGGTTTCACGAAGTTGCGTGTGGCCGGACATAAAAAGGCTGACGGACGAAGGAGGGACGCGATAACGAATACTCAAAGCAGACGATGAAGTCATCGCGCCGGTGACTCGCGTGGAAATCCGTCGAACGTTCTCCTCTCTCGCGTCGGTTCGAGCCGGCACTTTCCAATCGATCGTCGGTCGGTTTTTCCGAAGCCGGCGAGCCGGGGCGGTCGCCTGGTTTTATGCGGGCCAGCCGTATACAGCGTAACAGGAATCGTAATTAGAGTGTACTCTCGGATAGCGGTTTTCTTGGATACTTGATTAGGGCGGAGTCGCGAGGGTCTTCTGTAAATTAGAAACGGACACGAGGCGCTCGCGTGACGGGAACCGAACGCGTCCGATCGTAACGACGACTCGACGGTTAACCGATGCGTGAGCCAAATTAATAATCCCGGATCGTGCGATCCGGACGATCGACCGGCAGCTGCGCGCGGCGGCTTGTCTCTAAATAAGTTTCGCCCGTGGCAGAATTTATTATCCCTCCCCCGCGATCGTTCGTCAAACTGGTAATTACTTGTGGCGCGCCGCGTATCGACCTCGTAACGCCGTAATTCTTCGGCCATCGTAACGCCTTCGATTCAGCTCGACTCTTCCTCTGCCCTAAGCTACCTCGAGCCGTCGCGTAAACGTGAGAAATCTATTCTCCAAAACCGAGAAAAATTGAAAAACTACTCGAAATATTTGGTAACGCCTTCGATTCAGCTCGACTCTTCCTCTACGCTAAGCTACCTCGAATCATCGCGTAATCGTCAGAAATCTATTCTCCAAATCCAACAAAAATTGAAAAACTACTCGAAATATTTCGTAACGCCTTTGATTCAACTCAACCCTTCCTCTACCCTAAGCTACTTTGAGCCTTCGCGTAAATGTCAGAAATATATTTTCGAAAACTGATGAAAATTGAAAAACTACTCGATAGATCTCGTATCGCCTTTAATTCAGCTCGACTCTTCCTCTGAGCTACTTTGAACCATCGTGTATACGTGAGAAATCTATTCTCCAAAACCAAGAAAAATTGAAAAACTACTCGATAGATCTCGTAACGCCTTCGATTCAGCTCAACTCTTCCTCCACCCTAAGCTACTTCGAGCCATCGCGTGAATGTCAGAAATATATTCTCGAAAACCGAGAAAAATAGAAAAACTACTGGAAAGATCCCGTAACATTTCACAAGTCAGCCTATCGCCGAAGCATGGCGCACGACGCGTGACAGACCCCGACGGAATATCGACGGAATATCAACGAAATACGTCGCTCATTGTTACATTATCGGTGCCGGTATTATTTCCTTTTATTATCGCGCCGACACGTTAGGCACACTCTCCCGCTCCATAGGAAATTGGAAAACGTCGAAAGAATTTCCTCCCCGCGGCGAACAACATCGCCGGTGTTGTCGATCCTCCCATCAACGTTTCGATATCGGAAGAATCTCGGTTTAAATCGAGCCCGATTAAATTGAAATTTCTCGATTTCGTGGCTGGACCGTTGGAAACGCGACCGCAACAATTCCAAGCACGATATTGTAATACGGATTCGGCCGGGAGCGCGCGCGGGATCGAAGTCGCGTTTCAAATATTTCACGATCGCGATCCTGTCGATGGGGGAGAGGGCTAAAAAAGGGAGGAAGAACGATGAAGGAAAGGGGGATGCTCGTCGGCCCCGTGAGAGAGGGAGAGGAGAAGAGCGATGCTCCCCGGGATAGGAGGGATGGGGAATCGAATGCATTTGCGTCCTGAAACGTCACGACGGAGATCAGAGTCGGACGTCTTCGCGATGTCGCTCGATAAGTTTCGGAGCGTCTCGGGTCTGTTCGTCGGCACGGTGGTGCCCGGTGTGGTAGCGGCACAAGGGGACGGCTCGGTGATTCGATTCAGTTCTCGTAGGTCTGCGCAACGGTTCGGGTCCCATCGTGTAACAGGGACTCGGCCCTCCTAATTGGAGGAGTTTGTGGTGAGCTGAACAAGATAAACTGATACAAGTGCGCCGCGAGATAAGCCGAGTCTGCCTCCCGTAATTGGCTGAATTCGAAAGTGAAGAGGCCTCGCGTGGACGGATCAACCAGCTTCCACCGCGAAGCGGTCGATCATCGCCGATCCCACGGAGATAGCGACCATCCCCGAGGTAACGCACGATTCTCGGATATTCTAGATCTCGCCCCTAAAGATTTTAACCAACATTCGTCGACCTCCTCGTACAACGTACCGCACGACGTTACGTGGTTTCGACTCGTTTTATTGAAACGTGAAATCTTCCGTTGGTCCCGAGCCAGAATCGATCCGTTTATCCGTGAACGTTTCAAAGCTTTCGACTCGCGACGTATCTTTATTCCGTTTGAGAAATTACGTGACGGGAGCAGGCTCGAGAGTATATTCGTGCGCGATTTATAAACGCGAGACGGCGAGAGAGATACGTAAGTGGCGCGATGCGTTCAAGAGGCGCGCAGGGGTCTCCGCGACGAGTTAACCTGTTAACCGGGTAACGTTTCGATCCTGGACGCTCGCATAAAAACAATTAACCCTCGCGCGCCGGAGCTGTTCACCGACGAGTCGGTCTTATTGCTTTTAAACAAACTGTATTGAATAACGAAGTTCGGTGCGCCGAGACGCGATACGGTAAAATAGATTAGTTTCCAGCGAGAGGCCGATAAACTTCGAAGTGGGCCGGAAATGACCGAACCCTTACATGGAATACATATCGTCCGGTTCAAATCGAACGAACTCGATCCGAATCGTTTCGCTGCGTAACGGTATGTTCGTTGCGATTGATCGGAGCACAAACGCCGAGGATCGAATGGAAAGACGGACGATCGTCGCGGAGCAGGGGCGACGAGTCAACTCGCGCTCCCCGGCGAACGGTTCGAAATTTCCGTTAATTCGCGCTCGTTGAAATTCCCCGCGTATCGTTTCAATTACCACGCTCGGTCGTTAACTTTAGCCATCGTTCTGGCGCGCGTTCGCCTCCAGTCGTCTATCAGGGACACGGGCCTGCGCCGGATGGAAATGTAACGGGCTCTCGAGAGCGTGAAAACGGCTAAACCCCGTCGCGCGGCTCCTAAGCGTCTAATAACAGCGGGCGCGAGCCGCGCGCTGCTTGCGCATGCATGACAAAGCATTTTTAATGCATACATTAAAAAACCAATCTTCCGAAAATCGAGTAACGCCGCGATGAACTTGAAACGATCGGCCCGGGACAGACATCGGATAGGGCGAAGAGGAGCGCGGCGTGTAACGCACACGCGTGCACGCCGGCGGATCAGTGACGAGCAACTCGCAGCCGTTCGATCGGTCGAAGAATCAAAATTTCAATTGGCACGCTCCGTACGAGCACGTGAACCGTCGACGTGGACCCTCTACGAACGATAATTGTCTTATTCGCGTGTACGAACGGTTAATATTTCATTAGCCGCGGCTCTCGCGAGATACAATGGCTTTCCAATTTTGGCCCACTGCGAAACAAAGGTTGCTCGTCACTGGCATAGACGCCTCTGGCGTGCTCCGATTCCCATAAACTGTTCCCCACGTGGTGGTTAAGCCTTCTCCGTATCTCCGGCCGACCCGGCCAGCCCGTTCTCGTCCATGTGTTACGACGATACGGAGCCGCGATGACCTAACCCAGTCTGTCAATTAAAATGCCACCATATGCCACTTAAACCGTTCTAAATTTCAACCGCTAACTCCCTGTCGTAGAAAGACTGGCGCTCGAATAGTCCACAGTTTAGCCGCAAATCAATGGAAACGACGCTATCTCTCGAATCATCGCGCTGGCGAGCTGCGAACAGGATTCGTTACACGAAACGAAGTTCCGAATCTACGTAAAACGTTCTAGACACTTATACCACGACGTCTGTTTATTACTCGACGATTCCACTTACGTGATTTCATTTTTCAGGGAAAATCGCGCACGGTAATGTCCGTGCGTCGCTTACCCTTCCCACTCGCCGAGGAACGCGTGATAATTCCATTGCGCGGGGCGGGGCGCGCGGATAGGAGGATCTAAATATTTCCATTGTTTCCGGATACACCTCGAAAACAGGCGAAGCGGTCTCGAGACTCGCCCGCCCGGAACCCTCCTCGCGATAAGGGCGGCGGGAGGAGGCGCGAATTGCGTAACGACACGAAAGAAACGCGTCTCCCTTAATCGAGACGCCTCTCGAATCGCTCGCGCGATACTCCCGGGTAAAAGGAAACACGTCGCGATGGGAGAGGGACGGGGCGGTGCGGGGGGAGCGGCTGTTCCTGCGATTAAAATCAATTTGACGGATTACCGGGTCTCGACGGTGCAGTCATTAATCTCGTTACCAGTGTAACGCGTCGTTAGCAGTGCGATGTTGTACGTTACGGCGCGACATCCGAGCGTCAGTTCCTAATCGCGGAGAACGAGGCTTGAAATTTTCAGCGTGACGCGACAGAGCACGTGGAGAACGCCCGGGCGAGCTGGAAGGAAGAGGAGCGCGCACACGCGTCCCGGTTTCCTCTCTCGGCCCCCGTGAATTTCAGGCGTCAGGCAACAGCGTCGCGACTCGACGAGCAGCCGCGTCTGTTACCCGTCAAGCCAGCTTACACGATACAGTAGGGATATCCAAAAAAACTAGTTCGCTCTCGAGTGCTTCGAGTCGGCCGGTTCTCGCGTTCCTCGCGGGTGACGAATCCACGGTTCAAAGCAACGACAAATCGGTGGAACGTTGCCTCCGGCTCGCGAACGCGCGACGCGTCGTTTCGAAAACGACCCGGCGACCGGGCTAGCTGCTAGTATTTTACCGATAGCGGAACGACTTTGCGCCACTATCTCGTAGTAGGTTCGGATCGGATGGAAGGGAGCACTTCCCTTGTTGGGGTACGCGAGCTGGCTCGAGCTCTCTCGTGCTTCTCGTACACGTGTAACCGGGAAGGAAAAAGAAGTGGCATTACTCTCGTGCGCGTTATAGGGACGTACTCATTAGTAAATGAGCCCTGGGCAATCGAGTGGCGGGGTCCCAGGTGTTATCTCTCCTGGCGAGCTAGCGAACGAACGAACGAACGAACGAACGAACGAACGTCGGAACGAGAACAGCCCACTACCACCTTCCGCGTCCCATCGTGTATATAAATAGGGCTCCTCCGTGGTAACGTCGGCGGGCGGAGGAGGGAAGCCGGGGTTCGTTCTCGGCGCGGCATAATGCCTTTTGTTAATTATTACAGCAGCCACACTTAGGGGCTTAAAATTCGCCATAAATAATCACTGAGACAATACCACCCCCGGAACCCAGCGGCACACCGAGTCGAAGAGCCGGCGCTCTCGGCCCTCCCGCTCTCTTTCCTCGCGTCGAACACCAGCGACGGCATCGCTCCGCCGTCTGCCCACCCCGTTCATCCTTTCTCCGCTCATTTTGCACCCAGCCGAGCTCCGACCGACCCCGCCGCCCGTTACAATCTCGTTGCGCCCTTCGCGCCCCCGTTTTTCGACTCCCCCGTCCAACCTTTTCCTTTCTCGTTTCGCTCGCTCCGTTTCCTGTTCGTCGTTTCCTGTCGATATCCTCCGGCGAAATCCGGCGAAAAAAGAGGTGCGCGATATTGGGCCGCCCCGCCGCTGGTGGGAAAAGGGCTGGAGGGCGGAGCGGAGACGCGAAAAACGACGCCGCGGGAGACTACGGCAATTTAGCCGACGATGTACCCAGACCCGGGAATTATTCTGCGGATCGTCGCGCGTTGCGTCTCCTTTTCCGGATCATTAGGATTTTTCTTCGAACGGGGAAGCGGTCCCATTCTTCCGCGCTCTCGGCGGGGGGGATACCGTTTAACAAGCTACGGTTCGACGATGACGCGTCGGAGATACGTCGAGAGGGACTGCTCGCGTAGAAATATTAGGCAGCGACGCGAATAAGATCGATAACCGTGGATACGTTGCTCGAAGAATTCGATCTCGACCGAACGATGGAGCTCGCGACTTCGACGAACCAGGTCCGATCGATTAATCCGTACGCGTTTCCGAGCCGTATCATTCCCGAGAAACGTCCACCGTAGTTCGACGCGCTGGGAGTCGAGTTCGGTCCTTTATAATCACACCGGAGCCGGAGAAGAGGTCCGCGGAAGATTTTAATTTTTCAAGAGGCAGCCGCCTTTGAGGAATCCCGAAGCGTTTTCCATCAACGTAATTTTCCTCGCGACGTAACTTCTCGTGCCTTGTCCCGCGCTCGGCTTTTAAATTATCCACCTCTTTAAACACGCTTCCGCCGTCTTTATGAACCGTAAACCGGGAATATCGTCGGAGAGAAACAATCCATTAACAACATT